CAATGTACTGCACACAGATCCACAGGCTGACCGCAATGTACTGCACACAGATCCACAGCCTGACCGCAATGTACTGCACACAGATCCACAGGCTGACCGCAATGTACTGCACACAGATCCACAGCCTGACCGCAATGTACTGCACACAGATCCACAGGCAGCGCTCATTAGGTATTCTGTGTAAATAAGTTGACCATATAAGTTTTACAAATTTAATAAATAAATCACTTCCCTCAGTGCCAGAGCACTATATTAAATCTTATATATTTATAGCATTTATAACAGAAAAGGACTCAATCGTCATCAAGTCCGCAATCTTCCAAGTAATTATATTTAGATTTTGCACTGTCGGCAGTGAATTCTCTTTTGCTATGAAACGCTTGCGTTACTGACAGACCAGTGTTAGTCGGCAACATTGCAGCCTTTATTTGAACGGATTTGTTTTTCAGAAACTCTTCATACTCTTCACCGTCTCGCCTTAAGGTGACCAAATTTGCTGTTTTGAAATGTTTCTTAGCAGATCGTCCTCATGAGTAATTTAAAATAATTCCACACAGCATTCTTCCAACTGCTCAGTGCACGGGTGCGCAAAGCAATACGGGTCACCAATTTAAAAGGAATTATCGGCCATAAATATCGGCTCATTTTTAGCCATCGGTTGATGGCTGATTGTTGCCGTATTGGCCGATACAATCAGTGCATTTCTAATGTGTACATATGATTTTAGGCAATCCAAATCTTTTTCAGTATTGTGTCTGGCTTATTCATCTTCTGCGTTCTGCGATCTTTCAGCCAACTTGTAAGTAACCGAAACTACAAATGTCAAATTTGCGAATGTGAAGGGGTTACTGTGTATCCAGTCATGTTTCATTAATTTAGCTTTATGCACCTCCTGCTATTTCGCTTCCTTATGGGTAAAACCCGGCTTATTCACTGTTTACTGATTACTTAAACCGAACCTGCATACCATCCAGTTTAGGCAGGGTAAACAGGATTGTAAAGTATGATAGGACTACAAGTATATTACATCAGTATATGGTTTTGGAATTTAATCATGGACCACATGTCCTGGTCCTCAGCCTGAAGCACTGTTGTTGTTGAAGTGAGCTGTGGCCATTTCTTTGCTTTTATAGTTTCTGTTATGGCACAGTGAAAGCACATTATATAAATGAGGGCAGAACGGGACAGAAAGCACTTAAAAACAGTTTATGAAGCACAAACAGGACCAGTGGTGGTTGGAGAAATTTGTGATACTGTGCAAGATCTTCAATAAAACTGGCTTCTTCAATAAAATAAATGCTTTCATTGTATATATAACGCTGCAAATATGGATGTGACAAAACAAAGACTACTGTTCATAAAACTAGGCTGCTTTGCCCACGAACTTCATCTTGCGGCACAAATTGCCCACTCAGTGACATCGCTGCAAACTCACATCCAAGATTCAGTGTGGTTATTAACCTTATCTATCCTGAAACACCCTGTTTTTGCTTTAACAAAATATGGAAATTACATAACTGCTTCAAGTAACCTTTGTTATAAAGGTTGAAGTTGGGCTCTTTAAAAAGAATAAATGCAGTGTTTTGTCACAAACATTTTTTATTTTTACAGTATTAGAATTGGAACCAATATTCGATAAGCAGACAGGACTGGTGTGAGTGAGAGAGCACGACAGACAGCGATTAGAGTGGAGCTTGTCCTCATTGTCATATTGCGGGTTGGGGACGATTATGCGCAGGATGTCACCTCCCCGTGTTCAGCACTCTCAGTCTCGCTTGGCCCTTTGGTGGCAATGAACTTTGGGGTTAATGTTTATAAAACCACCATTTAATA